GATTGGCTTTATTTTACCCACCTGTCTCTAAGATTGACAACAGACATATTATCAATCAACATGATGATAATAAAAAATCGATTACCATCTTACACTATAGATATTTATTTTATCTTGCTAATCTAGTATCTTTATATCAATCTGTGATTGTCTTCAATTATTCCTCGTTGACAGCACTAGTTGTTGATGATTGAGTTAATTATACGTTATTTATTTATTACTGACATCACATCACCCTTTCATGACGGCTTAAATAATGAGTAGAGAAGATACCGTAACTGGTAGCATCACCAAAAGCTATTTAAATGATTCAATTCTCATTTTATTCGGTAAAATATTCCTAGCTTACCTTGCTTCTATCTCTTACTTACTCACTCACTTTCCAATTTGCAAGTAAAGTGATACGTGATATTATTACATAACTCTAAGGTAAATGGTAACGGATCTCTTTTCTTATTTCTTTATCAGTATTTTTAAATAGTCTTGGGGTTTTGCTGGTATTTGCATTATATTCGTCATTGAGTATGAAATTTTTAGGCCTTTTTTCTAATTCTTTGACTAATTTGATATCTCAATTTTTGTCTAGGATCATCAATTTTCAGAAACTGTGGTCTTTTTAATCTAGTGAAAAGGTAAAGCAAACTATTTACTTACTAAGGTTTTCGATGGAGAATGTAACCATGTATCTCATAGAATTTGATGTCTAACTTAAAAATACCAATAGCTAGCAATAATATAAAAGACCTGCTATTAAAATTTAAGAATATTAAATGAATATTACTAGTAAAATTTCATTAGCATCCTCTAGCTAAGAGATAAAGGATACCTAATGTCCAAAGCAAATCTGCATACAGTTATTTATGCCTTGCTATAATTTTATTGCAGTTAAAAAAGCGCTAAATTGCGATCATATTTAAGATTGCAAAATCGAAGGTCTGCTATATTTTTTCATTCTTAGATTAGTCTCATTACTTCCTAAGAGTTTATTTAATGTCGTCTTAACTTAGTAAATAAAAACATGGAGAATGATGTCTAAGCATGGCATCAAGACAAATCCCTAATAGTAAAATTTTGTTGATATGATCATAATTTAGCAGACAATATCTCTACGTGTTTGTGACTACAATATACGCAATCCTTAGATTTATAACAGAGTTAAGAAATATCGCTAGGTTAACGTAAATAGTTTCCCAATATCTAATGAGCCATAACTATTAAGCAACCTTTGATAAGAGATTATTAATTCCATAAAAACTGCTACGTGTAGAAATCCGATAATAGTTGGCTGATATTTAGTATTAAGAGTAGCTTCATTCAATATGGAGTAGTAGCTTAACCTATAATTTAATTTTTCTTCTATTTTCCAAAATCATTCAGGTCCCATCTTAGAATCCCACATTCCACACCTTTTTCCTCGAAATTCAAAGGCTGCAGGTATATTACTACTCGACTACCGATCTTGGGATAGTTATTTAGGTATCCATTAGAATCGAACCGTAGTTTTCCTCGACAGCTATTTCTAATACCCTGATTGATGATCATAATAGAACAAGTACAGTTACTAGATGAACTTTGAAGTAATAAAGTTTAGCCTTTGATTAGTTATCTTTCCTTTTACAGTAATTATACCGCCTATTAGTTTCCTAAATTCAAGTTACTTAATTTTATAACTATTTTCGCAAACAAATTAACGTTATCTAATTATTCAAACCGCAATAATAAACAATATTTTTTCCGAAAAAAGATGACATATTTATTTACCAAAAAGGCCTGCTTTTACTCAACATATAAACATCTAATAATTTTATATTAATGATACTATCTTTGATAGATATGAAATGACATTAGGTCCAGTCTTTAGTTTTGCTTTACCTCTAGAAATATGAAACTAAATTTACTTCATCTGAGCATAATCATAAATATTATTTTGCTAGGAAAATGACATTAAGGGCAAAATCTGATCTAAGTCAAGATAAAAACAATCAGTAGTCACATTCGAGTAAATAACATATTTACAAAGTATAAAATTCATTCCTAATTACGAAACATGCAATAATCCATGACATATTGTCATTATTACTGTAGTTTCAAAATTTACAAACTATGGATAATAAAATAATTGAATACCTTTGCATCATTAATGAATCAATTAATTATAATTATAATATCTGAGAGTGAAGATTTAATATAGTACATTAAATTGACCTAGAGACCCATCAATTTTTACTACCGGTATTGAATAAATAATCAATACTAGGTTATATATATGACTATTTACAATCATCGTTCCGTATCATGGACAGGAAATAATGTATTAATTGAGTGCTAATCTATTATAAATTAAGATATAAATATTTGAATATATTGTCTTTCTTTATTAACATTTTAATATCTAAAATTTAGTAGTTAAATAATTAGTTAAACAATTTTCTACCTTAGTTATCATTATATAAGTCTATTATTATAATCATTAATTATAATGGTGAAGATTTAATCTGCATTTAATTCATACGGAAAGGCCCCAAAAAGCTATTATTGCAATCATACATGTATCTATAGCATACTGTAAACACTGTATTTATAAAGAAACAGGGATACTTACTTATTAATCAGTGTAACTATACTAAGTAAGTTCTATTGGATCCAAGATTTCTGGTAAATACAGCATTCCTTATATCTGTTTTGAAGTAAATAGGTATTAATAGATCATATCTGCGTATTACAAGATACAATTTTCAAATAATTATTGCGCGCATAAGCTGCTGTTCTACTAAGAATAGGAACTTAAGTTGCTTCCACTTATAAACTAAAATAGTTTCAGTAGCAATAAATTCTTAATAGTATCATTTAAAATGTCGCATTTAATCAGTATAATCATCAGCGCTATGAAAATACGGTGAATTATTGCTAGATAGAAATTCAAATCTAAAGTCAAAAATCAATATTTTCGTATATCTATCTTTCTATCAATCACAAGTTATTGCAGCTCCGTAGCCTCGACCATACTAGAAAATTTATCTTAAAAATATGATCAGACAAGATGTATATAATCAGTACTAATAAAGTAATTTCATTTCCTTTTCTATCAACATCATCGACTTGGGTCAGTTTTAAATCTAAATTTTAGTTTTACGAGCAGAAATTCATTAACTTTTTAAATTAACCAAATTACCGGTATAAATCCGCCATATATAATTATATTAATACTTCCCGAGTTAAAAAAAGAAATGAAGAGCGTCTTAATAATCATTCCTATCGTAATATTATCAATCAGAAAAGATAAATGGCATTTAGTTATTCCTAATCTCATTTCAGTACTTCAGATTACTATAATAATTTATTGGTAAGAGGTTCGATTTTGCCATTTTTAGTGGAGACTAACATACATAAAATAGATACTAAACGCTCTTTGTCTATAATTAATATAAAATGAACATTATTATTGTACATTGGTGATCTTTCTTATCTTAAGCTAATTAGAAAGTTAGTAAAGGATAAAATTAAATTAAAAACTATAAGAAAATTTGGGGATAATCAGCTTAAATCTGTTATCGAATTAGCTCGGAAGTGAATAATAAATCTATTCGGATTAACATTTTATGCACAGATGTGCCTTAGATATTATAAGATAATAAAAAAATGTCAATAATGCCATTAAGTGAAGTTAAGTTAATTAAGCAGATAAAGCCTCATTTTAATAAGCATTCAAATTATTATTATCGACAGAAGTAAGCAATCAACTTCGATCAAAGATTGTTTAAAATACGATAACTTCCAAATCTGGCTATGGCTCATCAAAATAACTGCTTCTATGCTAAATCAAATCCATATTTTCCAGCCGACGCTGAAGTAACATCTAGGTAGGACAAATTTGATATATCGCTATATTATATAATTACTTTACAGTAGAATAAATATTGCAGTATACTTTAAAGATATGAATCTATCCTATAAGTATAATAGTTAGTTTTTTAAAGCAGTAAGATGTTACCATGAGTCTTTATAATATCTATTTCACATTACATATTTCAGTAAAGTTTGTGCGTAAATAAAACTTCGATGGTTACATTTTTCAAAAGAAGAAGATATTGTCATGAATCAAACTTAATATTTGTATTTTTTAAATTAGCGGGCAAAAGAATCTGAAAGATGCTTATAGCTACACTTTTCCAAGGCCAATAACTGTAAATAGCAATGTAATCATGTACGATAATAATCCAGGGCAACAGCAGTATAATCAATTATATCCATATGGTAATTGTCAGGGATTAGAAATAATTCCTAATCAATCAAATATCACGCTACCAGAAAGACAGGAAGAAGTACTTAATCAAAACGATTATATCGTAAGCTAACATGAATGAATAAAAATTAAAATATTGCAGCAAATTCAACAACTATTGAAGATAAAAAATTGATTATATACCTCTTTTCGCCTGGACAGTTCCGTAGTTCGCCATTCAGGCTTATAATAGTACAGTATATAGCGACAGTAACTACAATCAACATACTGATATATTTATATTTGATAAATGCGTAATATTATATAAATGAATTCAATTTTAACACTGCCATTAGTCTCTTCTCCAAAGTTGCATCTCTACTATCGCAAAGATAGATTTAACTATTACATTTGCTATCATATCAACGATCATACTGTAAATCATATCGTATCTTGGATTATGTAGACACCGCTTCCCTCTAATGATATCGAAGTCTCTACATCTAATCAGAACATGGGCCTCCATCAATATTATTATACTAAATCAGCAGAATCATATCAAGCTGATACTTTGTCTTATTCATGCTATAATAACCGTAATTATGGTAACGATGATGATGGCGAAGACGACGATGAAGATGATATGGACGATAATAGTGGAGGAAATGAAGACGATGAAGATGACGATGATGATGATGACGAGGATGATGATAACGATAATGATAATGATCATAATAATGATAACGAATTGATTCAATCAACTAGTTTGCTAGTTAACATGGATCAGCATAGTCCTATTGAGATGTCAGCGCTTGGCCAATCTTTCCGCTGTGATAAGTGCGGTTCGCCCTACGTTGTTGACCCAAATCGACGCGGTAATCGAAAGAAAAAATCCAAGCACATGGCATGTCCCAGGCGGAAGTTGGACCCGCAAACCAATAAAATATTAACATTATGCAACGCCTGTGGTAAGCTTCTACTTTATCCTCCTATTTAGATAAGCATTTGTAATAAACATTAAAAATTTATTCTTAATGAATTACATCAAAATGTACATCTTATATTACTATAAATTATAGTTTAGGTAGAAGTGAATTTCTCATTTGATTTAATGTAATAAGATACTAATGATTACTGCATCGAATGATGTGATATTACAGGTTTGGCGTTTAGTCGGAGTAAAAAAGCAAAACCGAATCCATCGCCACCATCATTAGAAATGAAATTAGAATATCTAAAAGAAGCTAAACAATTTACTTCGCGCTTAATTGAGAAGTTTGGTGATCAAGATGGTACGTTTAGTAATTTAGTGTCATCATTTCAATGTTTCAACTCTTAATCCAACGATAGACAATATTACAGAATCTTTAAAATTACAAGTATCTTATAAGAAGCATAAGGTCTTAGATAAAATTTAAAATCATTTCTCATAAAATAGACTTAAATTTAGCAGACATTCACAGTAATCCTAAGTAAAATTTTATATTATAGCGGAAAGATTAAGTTGCCCCAACTTTAAAAAGCATGGATGTGGCTGTCTCCAAAAATATATTACCGATCAAAGTCAAAATGAATCAGAAACTCGTGTACGCCAATTACTTCATTTAATTAAACAAGCTAAAATTTTACGCCAACAAAAGTGCTATGGTTTCCCAAACAGTAACGGGATCAATATTAATTCCACCAAATCAAAGATGTAAGACGACAACACTAATTTGCTTTTTCATAACATAATAACATGACATGTATAAAATAGGTACAAACATCTATTGCATGTCTGACTCGGGATAATTTGTGTACGTCTTCTTGAAAATTTAGTAAAGTCGGTCTTGGAAATGGACATCGAAAATCTAAAGCATTTGAAGAATTTGTGTTAACCCAACGTAAAATTTTACGGGAAGAATACAACCTATGCGAACGAGCAACACAGAAAATCTTAATTTATTCCAACAATTTCTTACATAAGAAATTAAAAACAGATCCTAACGTAAGCCAAAGCAATTAATATATCATTTATTATAAAGAATATTGTATTTTGAACATGACGATAATTACTTTTTATCGATGTTTTTATCAGCAACGTTCAAGAATAACACGAAGGAAAGGAAAAGCTGCTTTAGGAAAATTAAAGCCCATTCAAGATTTAGCTAATGAAAATTGTTGCATTGACAACTGCATTAAGGTACAAGAAATTAATGGATTTTTCTCGTAAAGTATGATAATAATACCTATAGTACATAACAGTAACGAGCCTGATTTTATGAAAAATAAGAGATCGACTGAACTGAAAGATCTTATAAGGGACATGATCTTAATTCTGTTGTAGATTGCTAAAACTCATGCTAAATTACTAGAAGAATGGCGAGAACGAGCAACGTCTGGACAAGAAGAAGCAAGACGCGTCTTAGCTGAAATGTTAACGCCAGCTGGAGGAAGTAGAACAAATTGCTATCGATTTATATCATGGATAACAGGTAAATGCCAATGCCTGTAGTTTAGTAATTTGTATTGGCCTAGTCATCAAGCGTCAATAACAAGTCAAAAAATCAACACGGTAGCGTAAAATTTTCGAGTCTTCATCACTTATGATCTCTGTATTATTATTCTTTAGGATGTAGCCATAGTACAATTAGTCGTGTAAACGAACAGATGAAGAAAACTGGAGGTAGTCGGGAGCCTCCACAACACGGATTAAAACAGTGGTGGAGAAAACATGGCCAACCTAGAAAATCTTGTAAACCGCAAGAAAGATCAGAACAAATGGTGGACAAGACTACAAAATCAGTAAACTATTCACAATCATTTTACCAGCAAAACCTTTACTCGTCACCACCCATAACCAAAACAGAAAGTTTTTCATCATGTAGTCAACATCCACAAGCTATCGCTGACCCTAGCCAATTAGTGGATACATCTCAATACGAACAAGACAATCAAAAACTAATGGAAATTAATTCACAATGGAATAGCTTTCGATCCCAACAGAATAATAACGTTAATTCTAGAAATCATTGTCATAATACGCAAGTTATGCCCAATATGACAACAAATGCAGCTGTTTACAATATCCTTCCATCAGATCAGTACAATGACCAACAATTTACCCTTAACGATTCAACACAGTTGCTCCATTCTGCTACCGAAAATAATAACCCCCAATACAGTTATTAGAATGATTGCTTATATATATTCACTAATTCTATTTTACTAGTGTTAAAACAAGAAATAAACTGTTTACATTTCATAAATAGACTATTTGGTAATTGAATAATTCAAATCTCACTCATGGTACACACAGTGAAACTTGCGAGAATTATGGAATATGTGGTAGATACAATGTACTATCAAAAGTTTCCTACTGTAGTTATTATTCACTAACGGTTAGGACAATTAGGCATATACTACAACTATTGTAGTAATATCTTAATGATTTTTAACATCGGACAGTCATATGCTATGAACGCTTTATTACAGGCTTATATCACGCGGATCAATTTATACATACGATATTTAACGAAATACCATGATCATGCATATTTAAAATGTAGCATGTTCAACAATAATCAATACATGTATAAGATTATAATCGCACTGCGATAAAATAAAAATTTAGATCAATGAGAAGTAGTTCAAATTTCTTAAGTAGTAAATAGACTGCCAATTTTAGCTTCTTTGGATGAAAATAAGTACCAAATACATTAGAAATAACAATTTGTATCTTTATAATAATAGCATCAAGTTGAATATCAAATATAAAATCGAACAAAGAATAAAGCTTTGAAAAGATATATAGCACGATAGTCAAAGTAGGTGTATCAATTTTTTCAATTAGGAGGAATATAATCCTAAGCATAAGATTCGATATCAAATCTGATAAACATGAGATATTTTGTAACAGGCTTTTTCACTCGTTTCGCATGCAGTACTCACATTTTACTCGAATCTATGTTATCTTCAATTAGTTATAAAAATGTAGTCAATATACTGATCACCAGTAAAATAGATAAAGTCAAGAGAACATAGATAGCTGAAGCTATTTGCTTTGTTTCATATGGATTATAAGATAGTGCCTATAGAATAAATTAAAACATCATAATCAAGATAGGGTAGGTATACTCAGCCATCTAAGAGTCTTTGTATATCCACATCTAATTTGAGCGTAATACTCGCATAGTATAGCGTATTAGTAATTTGAGTATTCGAATTTAAAACTTGATCTCTTTTCTTGCGCTATGATTAAAAGTAACTTACTTCGATGAGCGGAAATTGAGTAGAATATTGTCGCCTTGCTTCGTAATGATCGTTCTGGGATGTTAATAAGATGTCCTGACTGAAAAGTAAACAAAAAGAATATCATTGTTCAGATAGTAACAGTATCTATCCAACGTCATTCTCATTACCTAAGTTCTTTACTCCCATCGACACTAACAGAAACATTTACAATTTCAATGTTTCTAACACTTCCAAAGAAATCTGTAATGGGAACCTGCAAATTGACACCAAGAGTATAAAATGGTTTATATAATGACCGTTTTCGAAATAATCGTGGCATTAACTTTTGCTTATTTAAATTAATTTAACCTTAGTGAGATCTCTTTTATATAGATCAGTTCGTATCTTGGTGGTTGACATTACCAGAGATCTATCAAAGGACTGCAGCTTTTAAAGAAAACGTAAATTATTAGCTAAACAATTTTCAGCTATGTCTCAAACTCCCGGTAGCATCTATAAATGAGCTTGTGATACGTACTAAATAATGCATTTTGTCTTTGCTGGTTGGTTTAACTCTTTCAAGATACGACAGCGTATAATATGTCCAACTATCAATTACGGCAACGCCAATTTCAGGATCATGATGATGCTATATAATAAATGATCAATTAAATTTGTTACATCAAATTTTTTCATTCGTATGAGTTATATCAAGCTTAGATTAAAACAAAACAGTAACAAGTACGCACGTTGAAAAGTTTACAGTTGATACTCATTAATATGCTGTAACTATAGTATAAAATGCCGTGGATAATATAATGAATTGAGCGATAGTAAAAAGGCATTACCGAGTGAGAGTCTTCTCCAACGTGACTACTGGCAACACCCAAGATGTTAGGTGAATAAAATTTTTCAAGCATAGATGCAGCTTGACAAGTATCGATAGCAAAAAAGATTTCATGATAGCTATATTGAGGATGCATGTAGAAATTTTTGAACTAATCAAAAAAAGTTAAACAGGGTAAAAACTCATCTATCACCACATCTTATCTACCGTCGTTTTTGCCACATCTGTTCGAATGCGTTCGCTAATTCAACATCACTGATTTCTTCGGCATCTTGAAATTTTAAGAATCCATTGCCTCCATGACCAGTCATATAAACTAATACATTACTACGTTCATCTGTTAGTAGCCTCTTCGATCTAGGTACACTATCAGGCAGTCGACCTTTAAGGATAACGTTAAGAACATAGATAAGTACATTAATAAGGTAATTCATTTGCGGCTAAGAATACATGCAGCTAATTTAAAAATTTTATTATCGGTGTTGTTAAAAGTGTAGTAAAGCCATTTACCGGTTAAAACTCGAACTAAGTTCTCCACGGTGACCTAACGTACAGGATGAAGGATTGTATACTCAGCTTCGACTTGCTATATTAACGCAGATCTTGGTGAGTAAAAAATATTTGATAGGCTTACCTCATAGCCTCTATAATCAACCTCAATGTCGTCCCCATAAACGTTAATCTGTTGATTGGCATTATTATATACAGTACCTACCCCGATAATGCAAATATACCTTTGTTACGATTATTTTCCTAACGTATAAATTCTTTAACAAATGTTCAATTTTGCGTCTAGTATATGCGTCTAATACTCGTATAGCATGAAATTCATACTAAAATTGGAAATGGTACATTACTTAACATTGGTAATAGTAAATATCAATTTTCAAGTATCTTGCACTTTTAAATATGTCTATTACATCCAATAATTTTTTTGAGATATGATCTAAGTCATTAATGTTTCATTTCTTACATATCTACTTGTACAAGTGCAACATTTAATAACATTTATAGAAAGTATAATATCGTGCTCAAGTCCAATTTAGCCAAGTAAAAATCCTATTACAAGCTCTACATAATTTGCACCTGACTTGGAGTTTCTAGGATCACAAGCAACATCATCAGCGAGCATGAGGATAATTTGGCTAATATATGAGAATAATTTAATAGAAAAAAGTTTAAATGCAATTAGTCGATACAAAATAAGCGCACAAAGTATTTATTAGGGTACAGTAGGGAAACACACTAGAATATGTTGAAAGATGTCCTTCCGTAGACGTAATTATACGATAGTATGTACGAGTTTACACCAGTGCACAGGCAAATCAAGGTTGTAGTAAGACAAGATTTCTATCATCTAATCGATTTAAATTAGCTATACCTGATATTATAATTCAGAAGTTAATTTACGTTGCATAAACAATAAGTTGATGACTGAGTAGTCAGCTAGAGTAAGAAAACATTAAAGAACTGTCGATTGCAATAGCTTTGCTAGACTGGAATTGTTCCTTGTATGTACTGTGTTACATACCTATCTGGAATACCCAAACGTTTAACACTGCGATAGATGGATAATGTATTTGCAATATGACGATAGTTAAACCAATAGCGCGAAGTACACACCTTGAAAATATGTAAGTACTGGTTAGAATGTGAATTTACGTTTAAGCTGAAAGTTTGATTTGTAGCAAGACAGCTGAAAGCTGAGCACTATCCATTCAATTTACGTCTTACCAAAACAGCCCAATTATTAGTATGTCCTCTTTTAAAGAATTGTTCTTGACTTTCTATAGCATAGGAGGACGTTATTAAGACTAAAGCGATGATAAAATACAACTTGAATAAGCGATAGCTGCATTTAGCAGCCATTTCATTCATTGGCTTGGTAGCAGTTGTCATGGATTAATTAATGAATAGCCTGAATAGGAGGAGATATCTTCCTATTTATTGTGGTTGAACGTGGTCCAATCCCTTCTCCACGATAAGAAAATGTTTTTACATTAAGAAATCTCTATTACGATTCCTTCTATTACTGTGCTGTATGTAGAAGAAGTGGCTTTTAATGATTAATTGGATAAAACTGAAAATTGCCGAGGTCCAATTGGGTTTTCTTTTGCGAATTTCTTAGGCTCCGTGAGCCCGAATTGGAGCAGAAATCTTCCTATTTGTTGTTGTTGTTGAACGTGGTCCAATCCCTTCTCCACGATAAGCAAATGCTTTTACATTAAGAAATCTCTACCACGATTCCTTCTATTGCTGTACTGTATGTAGAAGAAGTGGCTTTTAATGATTAATTGGATAAAACTGAAAATTGCCGAGGTCCAATTGGGTTTTCTTTTGCGAATTTCTTAGGCTAAGCCTGCATGAGCTGGCATGAGCGGCATGAGCAGGAACATTGAGCACCCACTGTACTGCACACTGGGTGTACCGTGTACAGAAGGATAGCTGTAGAATATCCATTGAAGGTGCAACTTACCATGTATTATACTAAAGTGCAAAGTACTGTATTATACAGTAAATAATTAGTGTGACGATAGCACGCATGCTCTACCTTAGCACGTTGTCCGTCCGTCAGTATGGTACGATGTGGTAGAATACAGTATATCTATTATACTGAAGTGCAAAGTACTGTATTATACTGTACACTGTACAGTACAGTAAATAATCAGTGCCGATAGCACGCATGCTCTACCTTAGCATACTGTCCATCCGTCAGTACGGTACGATGTGGTAGAGTACTGTACAGTACAGTATGTATGTACAGTACAGTATTACAGTATACTGAAGTGCAAAGTACTGTATTATACAGTACAGTAAATAATCAGTGTGCCGATAACACGCATGCTCTGCCTTAGCATCCTGTCTGTCCGTCAGTGCGGTGTGATGTGCTACAGTACAGTATGATGTGGTACAGGACAGTACAGTATTCAGTACACTAAAACACCCCTGAATGGGCTGTAGACAGGACGACTGCACGCTGGACAGTACTGAAGCAGAGGGGGAAAATGCGCTAATCAACTGGCTTCAAACTCTCATCTGCTCGCTTTTCCTCCATTGGCATTGGCATTGGCATCTTGAAAGAAAATCGATACATGAAATTGCAAAATTGATTCATAATGCCAGTGGTTGTACCGTCTTCTAAAGTCCAGGATATGGTCCTGGTAAGTGTATGATTTATTATTCAGAGGATGAGAGAGTGAAGAATAACTGTAGTGAGATGGTAGAAACGACAAGGGGAAAAAAGCTTTTGCTTGCCATGTTGGCTAAATAGCTCTTTCTGTATTGTTCGTTTTGCAGGAAGAATCGGATATTGCTTTCGAAGAGGAAATTTTACGCAATCCTTATTCGGTGAAATTTTGGATGCGTTATATTGAACATAAAGCCAACTCACCTAAACAAGTCATCAATTTAATACACGAACGGGCATTAAAAGAACTCCCTGGCAGGTTAGTACCACATCAGAATGCAATACTCTTGTTCTTGTTTTTCTTCTTGTCCATCCAGCTTCATACTCTACCTCCATGATGATCTTGGTCTACATGACGATGGAATAGTTTATTCATTTCTTGCCAGTGTGTATTTCTCATACTTGCTACTAAATGACAATCTTATTAAAAAAAAAAACATTCTTTTTTCTCCTCTACGCGTCTCTTTAGCTATAAATTGTGGTATAATTATCTAAAATTAAGAAGGAAACAAATTCGAGGAAAGTATGTATCTTAAATGATAATTCATTCACCTTAATTATTCTTGCATAGATCGGATTAATTTATCCGCCAACATGCATTAATCTATACCTTCCATGTTAGAAGGATCCAACTTTTTAAATTTTTACTTATATATATATATCATGCTCTATTATAACTTGTATTGGCTTAGATGCATCAATGATCCTGCATATCAAGATGTTAACAATACTTATGAACGAGCTCTCGTATTCATGCACAAGGTATGTATCGGTTCAATCGGCTACAATAAATTCCTATTTGCCTAATTTGTTTGTATCACCGCTTTATTATGCAACGATCAAAGTAGACAAATGTACTCTTTACTGTATTTAGTAATGAAATGAATAAATCAATTGAGTACTTCTTTCCATACGTTGTAATACAGATGCCTCGTCTATGGATCGATTACTCCCAATTCTTAGTAGATCAAAAATTTGTATCCAGAGCACGTCGCACCTTTGATCGAGCTTTGCAAGCTTTACCAATAACCCAACATCATCGGATATGGCCATTGTACCTAAAATTCGTTCGATCCAGTGGTATCCCAGAAACTTCTGTTCGAGTGTATCGACGCTATATCAAAGTTAGTATACACTGATTTTATTATCTATTTATTCGTGATCCGATAAAATCGTTATCTCACATTCAAACATGCTAATAATTAATAATTGCTATCAGCTGTGTCCGGAAAATTCGGAAGAATTTATAGAATATTTACTATCGATTGATAGAATTGATGAAGCTGCTGGTAAACTTGCTGAATTAGTAAATAGTGTAAGTCGATACAGTCAGATAAAATTCAACAAGAGTAAAAGAGTTAGAAATAACCGGATATGCAATTAATATTTTCTCTTCCATAGGAGAGTTTTGTATCAAAAGAAGGCAAATCCAAGCATCAGGTTGATAAACTAATGAATAAATTTACATTTTATACTTAGTTTAAGCTTTTACTACACAACATTATTGACGTGATACCTTCCAACTACTGTACTATAATTATGTTAGATGTGGCAAGAATTATGCACACTAATTTCTAAAAATCCAGATCAGGTAATCTGAATGAATGATATTCCAAATGATACAACCATAAAAATTGTCTAAAACTGAAAATTAAGTATTGGATAATTTATCTTTCTCTTACTAGATAAAATCCATTAAAGTAGATGCTATTATTCGCGGTGGATTGAAAAGATTTTCCGATATGGTCGGTCAATTATGGAATTCCCTGGCCGATTTCTACATTAGAAGTGGACATTTTGAAAAAGCTCGAGATGTTTATGAAGAAGCGATCCAAACTGTTAATACAGTTAGGGACTTTGGACAGGTGTCAACTAATTTTATCTGATCCTCCATAACCTTTGCTCTTTAATAACATTCTAATACCGATCTGTCCATATCACATCTCAGGTATTTGATGCATACGCACAATTTGAGGAAGGTATGCTCAATGCAAAAATGGAAGCCACGGCTGAATTAGGACCCTCTACTGACGGTAAATTTACTTTTATCCTTTGTAATTGCTATGTAAATTTTAACTAAATATTATTTCATATTGATACTTCAGACGATATTGATATCGAATTAAGACTGATGAGATATGAAGAGCTTATCGACAGGAGACCTATACTTCTCAACAGGTCCATCGTGACTACAAAATATGCTGCCTGCGGAGTTTTACATCGTTTTAATTTATGAATATTTTTTTCACGTTATAGCGTTTTATTACGGCAAAATCCTCATAATGTTCATGAATGGCACAAGAGAGTTCAGTTGTTCGAAGGAAGCCCTCAAGATGTAATTGTGTAAATAGATCAAAATTTTACGTATTAATAACTATACTCCTTACATTTTGATGCTACAATCGACAGGTAATAAAGACATTTACAGCTGCTGTGCAAACGGTTAGTCCTACTGAGGCATCTGGTAAGCCACATACTTTATGGGTAGCTTTTGCTCGGTTTTACGAAGATAATGATCAATTACCTGAGGTATTTCTTGAAATATTTATCATTATAATTTGATTGAGTATGGTTAATTGATATTCGTAGAGTTTAAATCATTATGCGAAATTAATTCTTACTACTCTCGATTTGGACCAAAAGGCACGTATTATTTTTCAAAAAGCAACAAAAGTTCCCTTCAAATATGTTGATGACTTAGCTGCCGTGTGGTGCGAATTTGCTGAAATGGAATTAAGGCATAAGTAAGTTTTAGGAGTTACGCAAACTTTTGATTTTATTTTTTTAAACTTTAGATCATGTATATAAAAATAACTTCAATATGTCAATTACTTTTAGAAATTATGATAAAGCACTCGATGTATTACGTAAGGCAACTGCCGTACCTTCACGGCGTGCAGAGTACTTCGATGAGGTACTAGCTTGACTTTAAAAATTGCCTTTATTTGATTATGACCCTTGATTTGAATGTACTAATATACCTTTTATATATGAAACACTTTAGAAAGAAGCTGTACAAAGTCGTGTTTATAAATCGTTAAAGTTATGGATGTTTTATGCAGACTTGGAAGAAAGCCTCGGAACGTTTGATGTATGCGTCTAATATTGTTGTATCTTGTATGTATGATGCTTCCTGTAAACGTAATATCCTGATATATCTATCAATACGATAGTCTACGAAAGCTGTTTACAACAGGATCATTGATCTAAGGATAGCCAATCCTCAAACTATTATAAACTTTGCAATGTTCTTGGAAGAAAATCATTATTTTGAAGAAGCTTTCAAGGTATGTCTATTGTACTGTAATCAAATTTTAAATCTTTAACTGACCATTCACTATGAAATCACTATAATGAACAGGCTTATGAACGGGGTATTGCGTTATTTAACTGGCCTCACGTATATGACATTTGGTTGACGTACTTAAAAAAGTTTATAGCTCGCTATGTAAGGAATTATGAACTTTGCTATGTTTAACTAATATCAAACCAATTATGTATTAAGTATGTCAATTTTATATCTAATTTTTATGATAGGGCGGCAAAAAATTAGAACGATCAAGAGATTTATTTGAGAACGCTCTTGATAATTGTCCATCGAAATTTGCTAAAAGTATATCTTATATTTGACATTCGCTAAAAATTTACTTATCTAATGTATGTATAAAATTTGGCGTAACCTAATTGATATTAACGACAATTCCAGCGTTATACTTGCTATACGCAAAGTTAGAGGAAGAATATGGGCTAGCCCGCCATGCTATGGCTGTTTATGAACGAGCTGCAAGTGCTGTTTTACCAAATGAAAAATTTGAGGTTAGTACTAGCGGTAGACCATCATCTTGGAAAGGTCGTTACGGTTGTGATGTACGTATTTCTAAGTGTTTTTCTTTTTATTCTTTGTAGATGTTTAATATCTACATTAGCCGCGCAGCTGATGTATTTGGATTGCCATATACGCGCCAGATATATGAACGTGCAATTGAATCTCTGCCGGATGATAGTACTAGAGAAATGTGTATGCGTTTTGCGGATCTAGAGTCGAAGTTAGGCGAAATCGATCGGGCTAGAGCAATTTATGGCTATTGTTCGCAGCTTTGTGATCCGAGGGTAATTTTGTATATGTACTTTTGAACTGTTCTTTATTAGCGTAAAGCGTTAAGGTAAAATGAAATTTCTATCTTGTGTATGATGCAGAAAGAGGCATCATTCTGGAAAACTTGGCATGACTTTGAAGTACGTCATGGCAATGAAGATACCTTCCGTGAAATGCTACGCATTAAACGTAGCATACAGGCTAAATTTAACACTAAGGTATGTTTTGCTTGAATTACTAGATTAGAAAGAAATTGGAAGCTCTTAAAAATCTGTAGTAATAGAAATTTTAGTAGAAACCGCACAGGTAAATTTATACTATTCATTGTCCTAGATAAACTACATGACAGCCCAAATGCTTCCGGGATCAGAGTCTAGTGGAGGTATGTAATTTAAATTTTTGACACATTATACAAGTGTTGAGGTAATTAAATATTGCTTTCTATGTATAACAAAAAATAGCTGATCCAGGTAGTGACGATATGAAAAAACTTGAAGAACGTGCGAAAGCAATCATTGAAGAAGCTAAACAAGATCAACCTAAAGTTGGTAAACGGGATATTTTATTTATCAGGTAAAATTTTATTAAAATAATTCACAATGATCAATGCTTATGTGTACTGTAACAACCATGTTTTGTTAATAAAAAGATCGTCTAACTCACTCTTTCAATATTACTTTATTTTATAGGGGCGATACAACTCAGGAAGAATCAAAAGAGGCAGTTATGGCATCTAACCCGGAAGAAATTGATATAGACGATGACGATGATGATAATGATAATGATGTAGAAAAAGTGCCTGCACCCGGTATGACCTTGATAAGGACATCTATGTTCTGTGTACCATATACGCATGCCTAATATTTAAATATTAACTTTTCATATCCGCAAATTACAGAAGTCACCTTGGAAGAAAGGATGGTTCCAAGCGAGGTACGATTATTACTCATTAATGTGTTTGAATTAAAGTTACGATTTATTTATTGAGCGACAAGAGCAACGTATATATTTAAATTATCGTACCGGTGATATTTTATCTTCAATTTTATATATTTGTGACATTTGAATTGTACAAATATTAAAATTAAGTCCGTATGATTTTAATTTCTATAGGTATTCGGTAGTATTCCGGAAGAAAAGCAACTTGAAGTTCGATCTCACGCTAGACAAAGTTAGCGTTGTCGTGCATCTATTCTACCCGTCTAGGCTATTTTTTATAATATTAGATTCTTACGACTATTTAAGGAGTTTATGCATAATTCATGAATGTTATCACGCGATCATAAAATCGGCTAGTTACGTGGCGTATTTAAAAAATTTTCTCTTCTACATTGTGAAGTGATCATGTAAATTTGCTACTACCATTACCATCAATCGGATTTTTAGTATATTAAACTTGTTATCAACGATATTAAAATTTGTTGTCAGGTATTTAAAAATAATGCTATTTCTCGTACAAGATGTACATGAGTAAGATATTATTACGGATAACATTGTCCTTATATTAATAGCACGTTACGCATTGTATATTTCAAACATCGATTAGAATATAAAATAGATGTAGTATTTACTGTTTACAATAAAGACAATTAAATCAATGCCGTTGAGAACAATGAACATAAATCTGGATTATTTTTTATTGATGAAGAATGGTGGCGAAAATATCAGTCTATCGCTTTAACTAGAGTCAATAGATATTATTATAAAAATTTGACAACACCAACTATTAAATTGAAACCTGAATGAATAGACTGAAAGATGTATAGAATTTTGTAGGATTTCAATAATTCAATAAGTACTATATTAACCGAGATATTGGTATGCAAGTATAACAGCTAGTTAAAAAATTATCGTAAATTATTAGATATAATTATGTGTGGATATATATATGGAACGATTACATACTATTGAGCAAAAGTTGAAAATATTTACTATATTGTGATTGTAATTGTACAAATATTGATTGTTAAACCTTGAGAATGTAAACTAGAGTTGCCATAACAACAATTACTTCGAGCGTGAGGAATGAAATCTATTACAGCGCAATGTATTAATTGACATCATAACGTCAAGAGTGAAATAGGTCAAGTAACTCCACGTCGCCTTAATAACTGTAAACGTGTAGGTTACTTATTTTTAGTACCGCAATTACTGTACTTGAAAATATCCTGGCTTAACTACTATTTTGCTCCTATTCCCTTACACTTGGAATTATTTGGAAGTAATCCATTTCCTACGACCAAAATATTCTACTTGATAACACTGATCATCTATTGATTTATTACTCTTTTTCGAGTGTCAATCTAATCGATAGACACTTAAAAGTATTTCCTTCTACTGCTGTTAAAATCGAACATACTTTTGATTTACCATCATCAATTTCATGATTCCAAGATAAAAATCGGCCGTTCACCATTGAAATCAACAAAACTTAAGAGCACTTGATTACTCAATAAAATTTATACAATCGTAGAGAATCTCTATCCATGTTTCGAAAGAATAGAACATCTATCACACCAGAAGATGAGCCACGAGAAGTGCCTGGTAAATTTGGTTCGGTTACTTTTAATGCTATCAAAATGATCAAAGTAAGTCCTCCTACGCGCAGTAACCGTAAATGAATTTATGATATAAATATCAATAATAATTAATAACTTATAACTTTCATTCGATTTTTAAATAAATATATGATACAGAATCCCTAATCTGATTAATATTAAGGATACTCGAGATTTTTCCAGTCATTACTAAATATTTTCCAATGGAATTCTAAAAGTTGAATCTTTACTCATACAGTTAAAATGAATATCGGCAATCGACACAGTCATCTTTTACCCTCAGGCGGATAACAGAACTAGTGTATTGGTCATTACATTAAATCTTATCACATTGTACCATATTCCTATCATCACTATACTAACATAGTCCTACGGTATAAGCGGATTAAAGGCTTTAAGTTATTGTCAAAAGATAAATGGGTCATAGGTAAAATAGCTAAAAGAAAGCATAAAATCGCAATTCTACCTCGAAAAGGGCAAAATGATTACATAGTGATAACGTCCCATTTATATGCGATTGCTTTTAAACAATCATATTACCGGAGGACACGAAAATTATGCATGTTCTAGAATCTAGACGATTAAGCTATTGGCAATTCGCCCGAGGCAGCTTATGTTGAGATAAATACTTGAAATGATTTGGTAGTAACTTGAACATTTACGTATATGAATAATTTTATTAAATAATGCTCAACTTGATATTTCGACTTCATTAAGTAATCTAGATGTCGTCGTTAGAAAGCATCAACTATTAGATTCAAAAAATTAGATCAAAATTTGATCGCCTTCAAATCGATTAATCGACTCAATATCTCGAATATAGAATCATTGTGAATAGATTGTTCTAGAAAGTATTGAATAATGGAAGTTTAGGAAATTAATTGTATTAATGTATAATATGCCATTCGGCATGATGCTTCAATTTCGTGAGTATTCTAGGATCTCAATATTATCGTCATAACAAAAAAGAGGCTAAAACTAACACTTGAAAAGCAAAGTGTCGGATGTTTTTAATTAAATATTTCGTCTAGTTTTAATAAAGACTATATCTATATGAAGGCTGCATTATGGTTCCTGTGATATATTTAATTAATGACTAAATCTTGTTAATTGAAAGATTAGATCAATTTTTGAAGTCGCCGTAAGAAAAATTAAATTTTAATTACTCTACTAAGGACTAATTTCGATTTTATTACTATTTGTAATAGAATTCAAAACATAATTTAAACTGCCCACCGTTTTTATAACGACAGTACCGGTAATTGATGTTATTACATCCATCTATTAATAGACATTATTGGTTAAATGCTTCAGTAAAGGCTACGCAATGTTTATGATCAAGCTTTAGCCATTCTGATTCCCAATGTAACACAGGAAATGGAACAAGCGCTGTGTCTAAACAACACCAAAACACGATTATAAAATTAACCTTAGATACAGATTAGAATATTTAATTCTTTTAATAACATATCACATAATAGCTTAGATCCTTCTTGTAGAATTATATTTATGCTCTAGGGTAATTTTAGAATTAGGGCTATAAATTTAACAGCGAATTCGAGAATAGAAAGGTTAAAAAATCATAGACTCAGGCTTTATTCTTTAGGCTCTGAATAACTTGAGCTTTGCAGTAAATAAAATATTTATATTATATTTATTTTATGGTCAAGAAAGTATACTAGAGGAATTTTAAAATTAAAACCTTAAAAATTTAATGGATAGACTTACTGATAGAAAGTCAAAACTACAAGCACGAGTTTAATTCTTATATGAAGTACCAAAAACTTTCTAGTTAGCGATATCCTGTGAAAGAATTTCACACTAGAGCCTAGGCCATCTCAAACGGTCCAAATTATGTTACCTTTTATGAATTTTTTACGTAATGAATAAGCCCAAACCCAATTCAAATAAAGCTTGTCATTAATTCTTATTTGTTTTTAAATATTATACTGTAATGTAATATAGAGGCCTTGATTGTCTAGCTCTCGCTGAATTTTAAAGTCAATAATTTATGAGACGTAGGATTTTAACTTCGAGAATGGAAACATTTTAATATTGTATAATGAGAGTAGGCATATACTTACACTTACAACCTAGATATAAGCTAAATCATCGGCTATGCAACCCATGTCATATGCTCTTTCTACACACATCATGTTGAAATTGCACGATAAATGTGAATTAGAAGAATCTTATTCTCAAGAATTATAGATATTTATCTTACTCTATAAAACCAAATCCTAATATCCAATTTTAAGCACAATATTAGTAGTCTAATCTTTACGTTCGCTCGTTAGTTAATAATATTCAAGATTCGCCAACTTCAAATTATTAACACCGTTGAATTTTTTTCTTTAGAATGGAAATACATTTTTTAAACAATATGAAGAAAAATATAATTCCACTGTTTTCCGAGTCTACGCCGGCGCTAAAGTTGTGGCTCTATTAGATAACATAGCCATACAAACCTTATTTGATCACGATAGCGTAAGTTAAAATAAGAAATGTCTCTATTATATAGAAATATGTTGCAATTTAAGAAAGATACGTTAATTTTCTTTAATATTATCGATTTCATATAGTATAGTAGTAGAGTAGAGAATCTAAATACAATAGAGGTAACGATTATAACATATATGATTCTAGTAATGCAAAATAAAATAAACTAGAATAATAATGTAATCATAAACATAAACAAACGTTATATATCGCCCTAATTCCTCATAGAAGATGTGTAGTTTATCGGTTATAGTTAAGGTCGATTATAGAACACCGTTTAATATCTTTATATTTTACTACTAATCAGCTTTATTAAATTCAACTGTAGAATGCAGCACATAAACATAACATTTCTAAGGATATACTGTAGGCGCAGATCTAATTGGATTCAGGAACACTAGCTAAAGTAGAGTAGCATTTTAATCTTTATTTACGCTATTGCCAGTATCATTTTAATTCTTAATAAATGTAATAGTCCGATAGTAAATATCGTACAGGGAATGTCATTAGCATGGTAATTGATCTAATAATCATGACTTTGCTTCATTTGACAGCGTAAGCAATACTTCATACAGTAGTAGGCTAGTATGGTAGCATTCTATGCTATCTTACGTTCACTTTTTCAGGAAAGGAGGTATTGTCCATTTAGTTTTAGTAAGGTCAATTTTAAAGCTCTAAGCAATGCTTTATATAGCAGTAGCCTAGTAGGGTAGCATTACATGCTACATTATGTTCATTTTTCAGAAATGAGGTATACTCCATTCAATTTTAGTAAGATCTATTACAGCGATCTGCAAATATACG